TCATTCTATGCATTTCTAAACCAACTTCACTGTTAGTAGTTTGATATGAACTTAGTCATTAGGTCACCGGTTCGGTATATGATATTCATGGTCATGAATGAAACTCAAACAACGATATTGTCTGTCTGTCTGTCTATCTATCTATCTGTTTGTCTATCATACTCTATTCATTAAAGCTAAAACCAATTTTGAAAATTCTGTTACAAGTAATTGGTCGACTTGTGAAAGAAGTGCACATTTAACTCTATTCGACTTCTTTACCACCATCCATTAATTAATTAATTAATTCATGAATTCATTCAGGTATTTCAGTCCTAATGCTTGACTGAAAAAATTGTCAGGTTCATTGTTCAAACTCAAGACTAACTAACTAATTCATATGAAATGAAAAAGAAACTAAATGACATTCAACTAGAGAATGATGAAACAATGGTTAGTTTGGATACAACTAGTCTTTATGATAATATACCAATCACTATGGTAGGCTTAGGAGCAGTTCAAAAAGACCTGACTACAGATCCTGAACTCACTGATAGGACTAAGCTGCACATTAAGTTGTGTGAGTAGTGCCTTGATATGAATATGATCAATGATGAAAATTGTGCTCGAAAGGTAGTCATCAATAACAAATTTTTTATTCCTTCACGTTCTTTGAGGAACATAGGGCTTCAAGCTAAAGGCTTGAATTTCTAGTAGCAGTGGTGTTTATTTATTACATGATGGGGTTGCTGGCCTCATGACCAAGCTTCCCTCTTTACCAGTCTCACTTCTGGCTTGGCGAGATAAACCAGCGCGTCGCCTGGGAATCGACTGCTGAACCAAATTAGAGGTTAGAGATCATTCTAATGTGGTGCCACCGACGCTTGGATACCATATAGGGATACGTCTACCTGGAAAGTGATCAAAACACCCAGAAGACAATTTACAACAAATAATAAGAAATGGGTAGTTCAAATAACTAACTGTCAAGCATATCTCGATCCAGGAAACTTACTCTTAAGTAACCAAAGGGATAGTGAGTTTGAAAGGCAAGTGATAAGCACCTGTGTCTATCATTGTTTTCAAAAAGGAGTGGGGGAGGGAATACTCCAACTAGTCTGAATATGAATCTTACTAGGACGTTCACTTTTTCTACTTAAACAGAAAAATTTATTAGGGACATTTCCAGACACACCTTGACAATCTTCACCCATAATTAATATCATAACCAAAACTTAAACCATAAGATACTCTAGTGAATTTGCTAGCCAATAAATCAATAGATTGAAAAGAATAAGAAGTTCAGCAAAGATGGCGATGTTTTCGGCGATTTCAATCTCAAAAGCAGCTGTACAATCCCATTTATATAGATTAGTTTACATGCATGCAATTATTATTATTATTTGTTTAATTCCACATAGTAACGAAGGTGATAATAATTTCCAACTTGATATGAAAGTTTGAAAGTAGGAATATAGATTACAAGGGGCTTAGAGACAAGATTGCATAGAAATGACTAGAAAACAGTTACAACGTATGCAAAATTAATATTTGATAACTGGAGAAATAATAGTTTCAAAGGCGAATAAAAGGTGATAATTATTTTCAACTTGATATGAATTACAAGAGGCTTACAGATGCAGGGAGACAACCAATTACAGGTGTGAACAAAGTGAGCATGGAAACAAATTGAAATCAAAAATTTTCAACTTGAAATGTAAGTTAGGAGGTGTGAATATAGACAGATTACAAGAGGCATAGAAACAAAAAATAGAAATAAAGGATTAGAATATAATTGTAAAATGGTTATTCTAAACGGATTACAAGTGTGATCAGGAGGAGCATGGAGCTATGTGTTGAAAAGAAACTAGTCCAACCTTAACAACTACCATGGACCTAGTTCTGTATGTTCCCTTCAGTTTCTTTTGTCTTGTTATCTGTGTGTAATTTTCTGTCTTTGCCTTCATTCAATTCATCCTATTTTCAGTTATAAAATCAATTACTTTAAGTTTGTTTCCATGCTCCACCTGACCACACTTATATCCGTTTGGAATAACTATTTTACAGTTATATTCCAATCCTGTGTAATTTTTTGTTTCTATGGCTCTTGTAATCTATATTCATTTTAGCATGTTACTATAGAGTATTGAATCTAATGTTCTGTTGATAGAGTATAGTGAGGGAAATACAAGATTAACAGTGGTAACACAGCTTAAATGATATTCACACTTATGAAAAATAAATAAATAAAAACAAAAAATTGAGAGGATTATCAATATAAGAAATACAATAACAGTAAAGTTTGAATAAAGCAAGAACAACAGCGGTTTGTGCAGAATAACATGGCACCATCATTCATTTCGTTGGCTTCTCATCAGCTGCTGCTTACAGCCTAAATAAATTATGGGGTTTAAGTACAGACACGTTTTAACATACTTGCAAATTTCACATTTTGTCAGTTGACAGAAAGTTCCACAATTAGTAAACAGTGCCCAGAAAATTGTGCTTATATACTTTTTACACAGGCAATTCAAGTTAAAACAAAATAAATGTATCCATATAATGGTAAAGGAGTTACATAATAAAGATGAGATGTGTGTTAGATGCATAGTGACTAATAAGTTAGGTAACAGTGTACTGAATTGAACTCAAATCATAGAAACAAGAGACAAGCAAAATTATAGATTATAAAAAAGAGGGATGAGGTTAAAGACAAAGATTACGCAGTCAGATGAGAGAAAAAAAAGGCATCCAGTTACCAAGGCAAGGAAAGACTAATAACTGCTTCTTTCTGAACACATAAATCTGGTTTCAAGCCTTTGATAGAAATTGATTCGGAAAACTTGAGGAGAATGGAGTTCCTTTGTCTATTGATAATTTTGAAGGATTTCTCGATTTCCACCTCATGACCCGTGTCAAGGAGATGTCTGGTAATAGCGCTATTATAAGAGTTTGTTGTCTTGAGACGTAGGCTTTTCGGAACATGTTCAGAAAATCGGAGGTGTGCCATTCTTTCTGTTCTCCCAATGTAAATCACTTTATACGAATTCGTCCGTTATCTTTCTCTTCACTTGATCATGTGACTCACATCACCTTGTCTTCCTTGTCCCGTGTTGCTTTTCATTTCACTTTACTGCATCACTCTCGAATAAAACTACACTTCAGTCTCATTCACGGGAATTTACTCAAGCGTTCGTTCGCTCACTCACTCACTTACTCACATACTCCTTAGATCAGTCAATCAATCAATCAGTCAGTCAGTGAATCAACTTTCTGATTTCTACATTCAATCTGACAAATTCTCAATCACTGACGAATGTTAAACTAAGTCTTCGAATAGAATTATGCTCTATTCATCGTAATCGATTGACTCATATTTACTTAACTCAACTTCATCTTCACTCTTCGTTATCTATTCCCGCCACGGAACACATTTCTAGATCCCGATTTTCTCCAACAAATGCATAGAGAAAAGACAACGCCACGACATGTGAGATGATGAGACAAGTGATGAACACGGAAAGCTAACAACATTCAGCTTATAATGCTCGGTAAGTGATAGGCTTCATTCTTTGCGCGTTTAATTGGAAAGCGAACTGTCCAGGGAAATTCTATACCACCAATGTGTGACTTGATCGAGAAGCGGGACAATCTACTATCTAGGGAAGGTACTATACATAGTGATAGACTGTTGCAGTTTTCCAGCTTAACACACATGGAGAGAGACAAGACAACAGTAGACAAATCAAGATGTATCAGCCACCCCTATACTTCTTGTCTACACCTCTGTGTATGTGTCTCTCTTGCGCGCGCGTGCGCTCTCGCTCGCTCTGTGTGTCCTTCACAAGAAACAAAGATGGATAATGTTGGGAGAGAGAGAGAAAGAGAGACCGATTGTAATGCAGGTGCACAAATGTCTGCAACAATCTATTCCCTTATTCCTTCAACGACGATCACGATGATGATAATGACGGTGATGATTATTGTTTCCTGTACACGTAGTCTATTATAAGCATAGATGAGTGATGTGTATGCCCACTCACTACATCACAACTCACTCAGTAGGAGGAAACTGTCACCATGACAACATCATCAGCACATATATCCTCCTCATACATACATTTCAATTAGAAGAAATTACAAAGAAAGCAGTCAACAATACTCATCACTCAGACTTTTCCACCCGCCTGCGTGTCTGTATCCGTCTGTCTGTCTGTCTCTCTCCCGAACGTGCTTTCTCCCTGTCTTTGACTACGTGACTTTCCGAAACCACCTCCACTCTGAGTCCAGTGCGCCAACAATCTTCCTTCTATACACACATTGTAAGGCAACTCCTCTCATAGGCGAACCTATTAGTCAGTCAGTCAGTAGTGATCAGTACTAATCGTGTGTCAAATTCACTGTGTACATCTACCTTGTCACTGGAGCTATCTATCTATTACTGTTTATAATGCATTGACTGCACTCACGTATTGGCTGAAGATATTCCCAACTGAGCACATCACTTTTCTTGATGAAATTCCACAGTCAGATTTACTCTCTGATTGAAACTGCCACTACCACAGAACAGAAAGTTGGTAGTGTAATGTAGTGTAGATCATATCACCACCTTTTTCTTCTAACAGTCTCGTCTTCCCCTCCTCACTAATCCCTCATGTACTCTCCACTGAAACAAACAAACAAACAGACAGACAACCAAACAAACAAACGACCACACAAAGAGACAAACAAACAGTCATAGAAAACATTTATCTCAATAATTCATAATTCCCTATTCCTTTTTACCTATTTCACAAAGGAGAGCTGTGATAATCGTGTTGCGAACATTGGTGCGACATCAGGAGATCTCGTGAGGCAAGTATGGAATAGAGACACCAATGTAATCAAATTGAATCACGAAAAAGACATTTTCATCCTTCTCGAGAAAAACTAGTCAACTACTCACTTGTCAGAGGACTCTCTCCTCTTTATTCCCTTAACATGGAATATACTTCATCTGCCTCGATATTCTACTTGTATCATCCCCACCCACCCCATCTTTGAGAAAAGTAAAGAAAAGTAAAGTCATTTTCATGTTCAAAAGTCTTCTTGTCGTTCTTCTCCAAGTGCTTTCTTGACATATTTTTCTTATTTATTCCTGTCACAGTAGTACAATGCTGAGATGTTTCGACAGTCAGAAATAAAATGCTTTCAAAATTTACACAAGGGATTCGAAATTCTTATTCATGGCAACAATAACAGTAATAAGAACATTATTGGCAATATCTGATCTGGAGTACAAAAATAGTGTTCAGATCACATCAATCCACGTAACACCACAACATCACATCACATCACATTACACAACACGACACGACATGACACTGGACCGAACCAAACACGTCATCATAACATCATGAGATCATGAATGGGTTAGTCAAGCGGTGATGGTGGTTGTGGTTGTGGTGTTGGTGGTGATTGGACAACTCTGGTCAGTCAGTTAGCAGTGAGTGAATAGAGGCAAAATGAAATACACAAAAATGCTCGCAAAATCTGCGCAAAGTCAATTCACCATCTTACTAACACAAAGAAAAACAGAGAAATATATAAACAAAAATACAAAAAGGAACAGAAATGCAACATAAACTAACTGTTTATAATAATAATAATAATAATAATTATTATTATAACAGTGATAGTGATAGTCATTTTCAGGCATTGTGATATGAGTTTGATCGCTTTTTGTATAGTTTAAGATTCAACTCGCTTGCCAATAGGAGATCCCAGGAAGTCACTTTTCGCTCTACTGGATCATATTTTCCAGCAATGAAGTAATCGAAGACGTCTGTGGGATCACCGTCATAACCGTAATCACCGTCACCCGGTAGACTTATCTCATCCATGTCAACAGATCGACTGGATTGTATATATCCTAAATGTTCTCCTATGGATGTTGAAGGTACCTAAAATGAAGGGAATCAAGATTACTTCTATGACTGAAGATAGACACACATATAAATATCAAGGAACTTAAGTGCAAAGACTGGTCTGATAACGCTTAGACGACATCCACATTTCTCGTCACCACCCCATATAGAAAACGTCGATCACGATTATAAACTATGTGAACAATCAATCCACTGCTTAAGAGTAATAGACACAGTGTCCTGCCTGGTCCATCCAATCTAATCCAGCATGCATCAAGACATGACATGTATTTTCTGTTAAAGACACACGACAATCTGTTCATGTGTACCTATTGACTTTACAACTATACATATACATCTGAAAATGTTTCTACTGAGTCGAGTTGATTTACAATATCACTTCGGTCGGAGTATCATAAGTTGTCTCAAATTTTCCCATTATTATTCACGCTCACATATCAGCAGAGTGTCGTATAGATGGCATACTATACTGCACTATACTTTATCAGACTGTTTATCACTCGCTTACTCGGCAAAATGGTTGAAATACTCGTCAATAAATCATGCAGATAAACCTTGACACTAACACATCTTGAAACTGACGTTCCATCCAGTGGGAACATTGTATCTACTCTTTGGTCGCTGACATATTCCTAAAAGAGTGATAATCATTGGTTTAATAAGAGTATGTACACAGTCTTCTTGTCGTGTGACATTACACTCAGAAATTTCTACACATGAGAAATATACTGTGTATGCATGTGTGTGTATATGAAACTTACTTTATCAATGGAAAGGAATTTATCTTCCTCTAACTTCCTACCACATGTTTGCAGAAATTCACCGTATGACTTAGCCATTTTCACAAGACGTATAATGCATTCTGCTCCGTTTTCATCTTCATGTTCAGTGGCGAATACGGCACCTTTAACATGCTGAATTAATTGACCATCTACTCCAGCTTCACGTGGTTCATAATACCTGTGTAGGAAGTGAAATAAACTCGGATGAGGTGAGGGGATTAGTTATTCTACCCTAACACACTCCTATTATTGAAAAATCTGCTTATTGAAGCGATTCATTGTAGAACAGTCTCACTGAACAACAACATTGTAGTCTCTGGTGTTTTTATCTTATGTGTGTAGAACGTGATCAGAACTATTACTTGTCGATGGATATCAAGTATACACGAAGCCAAACTGATGAGTTTTTTGGTGGCTACCTTCATATGAAGAGAGGAGTAAGACAAGACTGACTACTACTATCAACCAACGATGGTAATCCTGATTGTAGTGAGGTGAATTATGCGGCGCTTAGTGAGGAATCAGAAGAGAGGCATGTGTCCGACCGATTAGAAGACTTTGGAAGATTTACATTTTACCTGACGGTTTACCTCGAATGTTCCATGAAGTCGAAGATCTTCTACAGGCGAAAATCCACACACTGACAGAAGACGCTGGTAGTGAAGATAAGACTTCACGTGTGAACATGAAGATACTCACTTATCTAACCACAGCAAGAAAAACAAGCATGAATGGAAGAAACTTGAAGGAAGTCACCTCTTCCACTCATCGAGGCAGAATCATCATTTCAACCACAGTCAAGAAGCACCGATGAGGATTTCAATATCAGTCACGATCGGAAAAGCAACACAAAGCTTCATTAATCCGAAATCAGTGTGGAAATCTACTGTACTTGTCAACATAAATGATTTCAACTCTGTCAATTTAGTCAGCACTTCCATGTACTTCAGGGACTTGACGCGAACTTCCTCAAATGTATTTCGAACAGGATTCAAACGTTTATCAATAGGTGTCTTCGCTAGCTGTAATATTGAAGATCAGTTGGCCGACCAGGACGGATTACCAAACAACTAGCAACTCTGTGATCCAACCAACCATCAAAGATCCTTCTCCCAGACAAATATTGCAAGGGGGGGGGATTGGGTGGGTGCACAACAAAAGGAACTCTTTTACAGAGACCCCCCACCCAGCCCTGGCTTCCAGGGGGATTTCAAAGGGAACGAATTATTGGACGGTTGGAAGGGGGGAGGAAATGAAAGCTTGAGAGTGATGGTAGAGGAGGTTGAAGAGGACTGCAGAGAACAGATATGTGCTACTGAAGTCCTAGATCCAACTTGGAACCCTGGTGAATAATAACTGTAGATAATAATACACTTAAATATCTAACGCTACACACACACACACACACACAAACTAGAGATAAGTATTCCTCATATTTGAGATGTTTTTCCATTGACAGTTGGGTTGTTCAAACATTTCAGTTCGCGTCCAACCTCTTTTGTCGCTACTGATATATTGCTTCATTGGAAATCACACAAAGCTCAAATTATGAATAAAATGTATAGATTGGGTCGAGTTATTCAACCGAATTAATAATATGCATGTAATGCATATCCGATCGTAATTTGAAAATCTCAATTCTAACACTCCGAGGGGGAAGTTCAATCACTTGCCTATTCATCGAGTTTTCAAGAATTCTCTTTATTTACTGAAAATGAATTTCACCAGACTTCGCCACTGAATACCGTCTAACATAATACAATGACTTAGATTGTGTAGTGTCGACTGTTATCTTGATAGCGTTGACCAAATATGCTAGAGACCAGTAATCCACGACTGTCTATGATTTGGCTGAAAAACAATCGACGGTGAGATATCTGCATCTGGCTTACATCCTCTGCAGAACTTTAAATGTTCCCGCCATCCTCCTATTTCCTAACACTGTCCAAATCTAATCAAATAAAGTCCTAGTCAAATATTAGGTAAAAGGGAGTGGATTTCATTATGATTATAGACTGACGGTTTCAAAGTGTAATGTAATGGCCTAAAAATGAAAGCAGTTTGAATGTTTTAGGATGTATTTCGATAGACTTTAGAGACTACCACTACTATTATTACGGCTAATGGAAACAATATTAGATATGCAATAATAATAATAATAACAATAATAGTAATAGTAATAATAATCATAGGAATTAAAAATTACCATGCAGTCACCACAGTCGGTGAGTGTTTTTCACCGTTACAACGAATCTCCCTGACTTTTCCAAGATATAACTCATCACGATCGGAACGGAGCTGTACACAATCACCGAGTTCAACAACCAAACCATCCACATTACGAATAATTGACCGACAAAATGTACATCTGCGTTTACGATGTTTGTACTGTTTCACGTCAACCATGTGAATCGCCAATTGTCAGTTGGTAAAAAGATAAACAACTCCGTTAAATAAAAATCATTAATTAGGTGTATACAGTACTACTACTCTGGGAAAAAGGTAGAATATGCAATAGCTTCTCTATAAGGATGCATGATTTACAGGGTACGTATACATTGTCAGGTGACATAAGTATTACACTGACATACTCGGTATCATGATTAATCACTTCAGTTACTTCTTTTGAATGAAGTAAGGAGTAAATATTGTTAGCGAATGTTTATCTGTGATTCTGTTATTTATAACTGCTGAGAAGAGGTCTCCAGGAGTGATTAGATTTTACTCAATTCAATATGATTTAATTATCACTCATGGAATATGCCCTGACTAATATACACTTACTTCCATTTCCAACTAAAAATGCTGTACAACTTCAAACACAGCGATGTCTTTCCGCTAGATTTCTTGATGGGTTATAATAAGAAGTTATACATGATAGTGTGGTCCAAAGTGGTCTAGTGGAATTGACATTTGGGGTCAATAATTCAGTGATTGAACACTTTCCGACTACTGGCGCGGCTGGACCACCAGTCGACACAAACCCTTATCTCGCGCTAAGCAGGCGGTAAGCCCAGTAAGGCGGGGAAGATTAGAAGGCTGGAAACATCATTCCTTTACAAGAATCATTGCTACTGAGAATCCAAATATTAAGCTTGAAGCTCTATTTTTCACTAGGAAAGAAAATGAATGAAATTTAAAAAGTTAGTAATATATGAAGACGGATATTTGAACAATGAATAGTTGAGCGACAATCATAGAGAAAATTGAGACAAATAATCACATACTACTACGTAATATCTATGAGTAGTCAACACATACCAAACAAATATTTCAGTCTAGACTAGCAAACATGCTAGCTAGCTGGCTAGCTAGTTGTAAACGCGATCATAGGGAAATGACGCTGTGATATCATCTCACAATATGTGTGTCTCCTGAATGTCCTCCGTATTTAAACACACGACATATGAAATAGTCACATAGGAAAATCAATCACATAGGATAACTTACCTGACAGAGACCAAGAATTATATGATAATCTTCGAATGTTACGATCGACACCGCTATGACGGCGCATTCGTGACACAACTGCATTTCTCACACAATTCACAGAATTTGAAGGGATCAGATAAGGTGACAGACCGCTCATTGTGTGAGGCTCACCGCCGGTTATTTTAGCTAATTCACATAAATTTGTAAAAGAATCTGGTAGAATACGAAGGCCAGCCAGATAAGGGAAGTTCAGGTGAATCAGCTAGTAGAGTGGAAAACAGAAAGGTAGGTAGAGGAGAGGGCAGATTACACTTTTATGGAAGATCTTGTTCAGAAATACAAAATACAAGACAAACTAACCACATGAACACAGTCTTGTTCTGTGCTAATGACAAACGTGTGTTTGGCCAGTTTTCGTTTCCTATTCCAAGATGTCCTTCAGTATGTATGAAACCATAATTCTCTCTGTCGTCAACATCCGAAGCTGATATTAAACTAACGATTAGTTTATAAGCAACACTTTGTTGATCACAGAATATGCTAAGATTGAAGAAACCAATCAACCTCATCGTAAAGCATGCCACATTTCCTCACATTTTTCTTTATATTAAAAATAAATAATAATAATACTAAGTGAACAGAAAAACGGCAGTCTCTACTACACCTACCTCTTATGAATTAGAATGATGATAAGATATTTACTGAAAACTATGACTGCACCTCGAACGCATAGATCAGACTGCGGATAAGCAGTCGTTTTTCTGGAATGTCTGATATTGGGAACCAATTTGTCAGCTTCGAATTTAAATAATTATAGGTATATCTTTCGATTGGTTTCTAAAAAAATGCACTAGTCAGTTAGTTGTTCAAAGTACCAATCAGCAAGTAAGAAATCCAATGAATAAATGAATGAATTAATTAATTAACAACTGGTGGATTTACAACATGTCAGGCAGGCATGCATGACACAATGTTATTTTCAATTGTCTTCTTGCACATACTTCATTAGTTGGGTGAAGTGGGAATGCTAGCTGGCTGGCTGGTTTGCTGGCTAGCTAGCACATGATAATAGTTGGCAGGCAAATTAGCCCAATATATGTACAATAGGTGTATCTAAATATGAATTCATTGACAATGAAAAATGACAACTATTACCACTACACACTATCACTCATGCGCATATTCATCATTCAACCTTCCATCCATCCATCCATCCACGATGGAATGAATCCAGTTCACTGTTCAGTCATATTTTCAATTATTGGTTTTGTAAGGATTTTCAATCAGTTCTAGTGAGAGGGCGTCACCAGCAGAATACACCAGGTTGAAGGTGAGGCAGTAACTAACTCATCGAAGAAGACATTGGCGAAGTGATCGCGCCATTTCATGAATTGGCAGATGTAACAATTCCTGGGCTAGCCATTGGATCGGATCCCAGTGGCTGATTGATGGTCTACGAGCTAGATCGCCTTGTAGGCAGAAGGACCTGGATTCAGGCCTTGGCAGTTCCCTGAGTGAGTACTGCTGAAGAGTCCGAAACTAGTCTGACGAAACAGCTGTCTGGTAGTACTTACTCTCTGTTGGCTTTCCAATACTTCTCTAACTGATGTCAGCTCATGATGAAATCCAATCCTCCAAACTTTTCGTTCGTGTCTTAAAATACAAAAATAATCTCCACTTCTTCTCATGCTGCTTTTTAAATGTGATTGGAATAATTTTAATCAACAGTCTGAACACTATACTATACTATACTATGTAACGAATAAGTACTCTGCACAAAGGTGATAAACCCATTTATTATATAAGGCAAGGCACTTGGAACTTTCGTAAAAAACGATTAAACGAAAACCGATTTCAACAATAATATCATCATGATAACAGTCAATGACAACAACTGAAATGCACAGAAGCTAATGCAAAATTAATGGCGAAATAATAATAATAATAGTAAGGTAGAGTTAGAAAAGGGATTAGCAACAATTTACCTGGAAAAAACATTCCACATAGTGAAGCATAAAAACTCCACATTCCACAAGGCTACTATGAATAGGCACAAGTGGAGTATACATGGGAAGAGTATCTCTACTGAATCGGAGGACACCGTCTTCTTCTGATCTCCTCTTATCCCATTCTACTTGTAGATAGCTGGAATCAATAAAGAATAGTGAAAAGTGCATGGCATGCATTAGCATTGATCAATCAACTGGTTGATGATGATGATGATGAAATCTCGTCTACCATTCTTCAACTAACTGACCACCTTACATCTCGAGTATACGCCATATCAGACTGTAGGTGAAGGAATGCCTACTGAAAACAATTCGTTCCCTACTTACTTCTCTCTATCACTGTGGTGAGACATAACCTCTGAAACGGAAGACTCGAAGAGCATAACTCTGGTTGACCATAGGTGTTTGGCGCTATCCACTCGTGTCACGTGGTATAATAATATCTTCCTTCACTAACACCAAGGCTAGCAGCCACGTGATGAAGGAGAAATATCAGCAGATAAGGCGAGGTGATTGCGATTCTCCAACCATTCACATAACTAGATGAACTCAGCTCCCCGACTCATCCATCTCATCTCACATCACATAAAATAGATTAGGATGCAAGAGAGTTGAGTCTGTGGACAAATCATAACATGCCATCGTCAATACTTTAAGCCTTTGACTGTTTGTCTGTTTAACACATGTCGACTGACACTATTTAAAGTCGATCTCAATGTCAAAGGTCACTTCACACACTAGTCTGTATGGATACCTACATCCATCAGACCCCATTATTCCCCAGGTAATTATTATTTCACCATCGCATTTTGTTCATCGTACTGTAGCTCCTTTGTGCTGTAGCTTCATCTCTCCACATTTTTGACTTTATATAGCAGTAAATGTAGCGAGAATAGCTCAGTGGTGGTAGCGTCACTGACTGCACCGTTTGGTCACCTGGGCTATACCCAACAACAACAACAACAACCGACAAGACTTGCTTCAAGATTTAACATGCGCCTTGATGACTGATTGGTAACTGAAAAAATCACGGAACCAAGGTCTAAGGTTTCCTCCTCCTCCTGATAGCTCCCAACCATCTACCAATAACTAAATTCTCTAACCTGCTGTGCTTCCCCATTCCATGGCTTGTCTTTTCTCCATTTCCACTCTTCACAGTCGTTACAAACAATTCGAGGTGCTTCGTCTTTAAGAATAGACGTTGTTTCTTATCAGGTTCACCGGGCTCACCCGTATCAGTTACCTTGCATCAGTTTATTTTTCTCTGAGACTGCATTAACCCTATTGAATTCTACTAGACTTCTCACCGTACATTATTAGCTATCTTCACCACTACCAGTCATACAATAGATTCCATGTGGCGTCTAGATTATTTCACCTCCAGTCATACCACCAATACAAGTGCACGGATTAATCAAAGTTGAAAAGCTACGCACTTATTCCAATCGAAACGATATCCTAATGAAAATCGTCCATCCGATTCATTTGTAGGTTTCATGTTGTTGACGATGGTTCAGTCAGTCCTTTGTTTGAAACTATTTCTACACAGAGTCAAATAGTCAATAGAACGAAAATAGGGACACAATCACACCGCTTTGGATTAATTCGCCTGCAACTTAAACACACACACACACTCTCCTCATACGATTTCCCGATCGGCTCACATTCCCTAAATTATTATTATTATTTCCTTTACTTCCTAGAGGAATATAGGGCTTCAGCCTTGCGTCTCCATCGCGTTCGGTTCTCTGCCAACGTTTCCACCTGGCTTCACGTCTGCCCACATGCTTTCATCTCCTCTCCACATGACCTCCTCCATGTCACCCTTGGACGACTAACTCGCTGCTTCTCGTTCGAGTTCCACTCGAGCGATGGCCTGGCGTGTGATGTCACCCACTTGATGGTTTGTTTTCTCAGAGTATGGCCAATCCACCAACATTTATTCTTGCTTATTTCTTGCACAATTTAATACTGATGGGTTGGTTCGCTCACAGATACCCCTGTTGCTAATCTTTTCTGGCCCGCCATATCATCTTGAGTACTCAGTGAAGACACCTGTTAATGAAGGCCTGTAGTTTGTTTGATGTGTTCTTTATAACGCGCCAAGTCTCTGACCCGTATAGTAAAAAGCACTGACTTTACATTGGAGTTGAAAATCCTGATCTTATTTTCCATGCTAAGTGCTGTTGACCTCCACACAGACTTGAGAGTAATGAAAGCTCGCCTCGCTTTCCCGATCCTTGCTTTAATATCCTCGTCAGTTTCGTTTGCCTGCAGTTGAAACCATGCTTCCCTAAATAGCTCACCATTAGAAAACAATTTTCAACGACACCATTCAACGTCTACAACCACCATTTGTAACCTCGACGTAGAACAGCTCTTGAAAAATAAAAAGATGAAGGCTGTACAGTTCAGCCATCAGAAATGCGATGTCGTCAGACAATACAAATGTCTTTGTTGCATGCAACATACAAATCAGCATCATATTGAACTAAATGCTCATCATCGTTAGATATCATAATTAATTAATTCATTAATTCATTAATTAATTCACAAATATACATGAATAACAAAAAATATCTTACTTGTGAAGAACATCCGCAATATTATGTCTACTTACAATAGGAACCGAGTCGAATATTAGAAGACAAGGCCTGTGTGAAACGAAATAGATAAATAAACAGATAAATAAATTAAATGAAGACAAGAAACTTCATGCTTGACAATTAATTTTCTGTATCACATAATTAGTTAACTCAGAAGGACATATCATCAAATGATTTATCAAAAACAATAGCGCCAATATGACAACAGCCACATAAGAGGCACTGGAAACTGGTCACATTATTGAACAAATACTACCACAAACGCAACTCAATCAACACTTTGACTGGACTCTAGTTAGTAGTTAGTATAATCAGTCTAGCCCTTTGCGTTCGCTCAGACTAAATTCATGATAGCTCGACGTCATAGCGCACTCTGAACCATTGGCGAAGACGTGATATCCGCCTGGTTGGCTGGCTGTCGACCAAAGCACATGGGTATAGCCCAGCGGCACCAACAGCAGTTAACTACGTCCTCTTTTGTCTATGGCCATCGAACATCCCCATTGAGAGTGGAAGATAAGAAAAGGCAAGTCGGCTAGCTAGCTGCCTTTGATCATAATATCTGTCTGTGTTCTATCTACATATTGCGTTTGGTGGGAGGTGTAATAGGGAGACTAACATTGAGATGAGGCATCGGTCGAGTGCTCCGTGAGGAGGGAAAATCAATCGACGAGGTTGTGAAGGTAATTCAATTGAGATGGTAAAGAGATGTTATTACGCATGCCTCCTTGACTGATGGGAATTGTTAGCCACTGAAATAGCATGGATCTGGTTAGAAAAGAGCCAACTAGGTCTAGGTGGTCAAACCAAAACATGGATTTGGCCAACAAATCAGCGACGTGTATACTTACTTACTGACTGACTGACTAACTGACCGATCGACTGACTGACTGGTTAGGGTCCTCAGGATGGTAAAAACCAATGAAGGCTGGAGACTGTCTATCTTTCATACAGATAGCTGAAAATCCCAGATGAAAATAATGACACAGAAAATGCGTTCACTTATTGTGATTTGTCATGTCGAATAAAACTCTATTGTTCTTTCATACTACTACTATTACTACTATTTTTCTCTCCTCACACTTGATCTGATTGTCTCTCTCTGTGTCTGTCTCTCTTTCCCTCTGTGTATCTCTCCTTTGAATTTCTCTTTACTCTCTTCTCTTGCTTCGTAAGTCTCATGGAGGGAGGGAGGGAGTGAGGGATGGTGGCAACTCGAGCTGCTGCTGCTGCACATCTCTGAAAAGTTTTATGTTGACGTGGGTTCGAATTTCAGAAGGGACATTATTTCCTTCAAAATTACAGATAAACCTTGCTGACCCGTGAGGAGCAACAAGCACAAAGTCTAGGCAGGGCTTCCTGACGATTGCCTCCAATCATCTATTACCAACAATTACTTCACACAACACACAAATCACCTCAGATAGACAGAACTCTCTTGAATGAATGAATGAAAGAAAAAATGCATAAACACACATGCACACATATACGTTCAATTATTTTCATGTTCTCAAGTAAAAGAAAATCAGAATTTTTCATGACTGTGTTTAACAATAGAACAGATTGATTTGTTACTCCTCTACAAAATGAACAGGTACAGACAACATAAGAAGACAAACAACGTACTTCGGATTGTAACCATTCTTTCGAAGCCAGGCTAGACGTCTTTTTCTCCACCGATTAAATGCCTCACCCTGTAAAACAATAAATACAAACAAACTATACACTATACACCACCACCTACTTAGCATACAAGTCTTAATCGGTCCACCGAAAAAAGCATTGCTAAGTCATTCAAATGGTCATAATTCACATGCATCTTGGAAAATATACATCTCACTATCATTGTAGAAGTGTCGGTTTACAGGGATCTCATTTGACTGAGTACAGGGTTTCATTATGAGCTGACATCGGCTAGAGAAGCATTGGGAAACCGCCTGGAACAATAACCAGACAGTTTGGGACTCATCGCCCACTAGGCTTCGAACTCAGGACATTCTGCTTACAAGACCAGCGAGCTAGTTCACTATTAAGCAACTGACCAGTCCGTGAATTCCAACTTTTGCCAATTCACGAATGATATGTTGGTGCTGTTGGCACTATCAAATGCCATCGATGGCGAGTATTAGTCCCCACACCCACAACCTGCTTTACTAACTCACTGGTCAAGGCTTATCAGTAGAACCCACCCACGTAACTGCTAACCTTGAACAGGGCCAGTCACCAGTGAGCTCACCTCGTAACCGAAAGCTACTCGGTTCGAACACTGGGGGTGGGTGTGCGTACCCCTGAACAGTCCCAAACTAGCACGAAACACCTGTCGAGTACTCGCAGCCAGTTTTCCAATGCTTCTCTAACCCATGTCAGGTCATAATGAAGTCCTATAACCAATCAAATCCTAGTAAACAAACACCTGAATGCTAGCTGATAGGTTGGTTGCTTTGTAAACGCGCTGCTCGAAACATACATGTAGGCGTCCTAACTAAAATAGGTACAGATACACACCTATAAATCACCATCATATACATCACTTTAAATTGACAAAATTTACTAACAATACTAATACTGCCACCCCATGTAAATAAAATTTTACTCAGATCACTGAAAGATCAAGCGAATAAACAGAGCCTTGACGAGAGAATATTGGAAGCTAGATGGCGGTAATATCTCAGTTCCTACGCCATCAGATGATACAAGAATGTCACCACGTAGCACATACAGGAGCAGCCAGAACAACCGACCTTTTGAGACAAGGCATGTACTGGACAGGTATAAGAGATGTGGCGAAATATATACTTGGATGCCAGTAGTACCAGTTGATAGAAGAAAATCGGCGCATACGACCGCCTCTGCAGTTAATTCCAGCTACGACAGTAGGTGACTTGACATCCATAGATGCGATGCTTTCGTCTTCGCAGATCCGTCTTCAGAACCTCCTGATAATGACGAAACAAACTATACGATGGGCACACGCCATCACAATCAGTGCTGGAGAACTGTCACTGATGCAGCACTACGACACATCGTTGCAGACCACGGTGTACCCAAGGTCGATACTGACTGACAGATCAAGGCCTATGTTAGAAAGCGAAGAATTCACTTCCCATTTGCCACAGCTAGCTGTCAAGGAGATCAGAACAATACCATATCATCAGCAAACGAATGATCTGACACAGAGGAATAACCTTACACTTAAGGAGTGGCTGGCCTCGAACAGAGGTAACTGTGAGTTAGAGCTGCCATTGATTCTACTAGCACATCGTGCGACTACCCAAGAAACAACACCAGTTCAGCTGATATATATATATACGAGGCGTACATAATTTTCCTATATAGAGAAAATCAAATTGCAAACAAACAGTCCGTCACCTAAGTCTGTTGTCTCCTACCGTTACAAAACAATCTCAGCCTTTAATATACTACTTTTATTATTCATAACAGTAATAATAAATAATAATGAACATTTTACTGCAATACTTACCTTATCATCTATAGGCATTTTGTCAACACATTCTTCATAATTAGTTGATAAATCTACATTCTGGGGAAATTCAATATGGTCAACATCAGAAAATTCTTCCTTTAATTTGAACCAGTCAACGTCTTCATCAGCATGTACATCATGGAGCATTCCCACCATCCAAGGATAACAAACAATAACAACAATCCAGTGACCACTAAAAAAGTTCCTATAGACATAACCAGTGAATGTCACACACACACACACAAAAGAAAAAGAGAATAATTTCATACACATACACACAGGTTAATATGATACAATGTGAAAGGCGAAAAATGTTTTTAAGTCAGAATCATGGAGGAAGGAATAAGTCGACTGTGCTACTAACTACCCACTAAATGAAAATTAAGAAAAATTATCAATAGAATCAATACAATTCAACATTTGGACAAATGGTGCAGCAAAGCAGATTCACTCCTGCTGTCATCACGGTTGTTCTACTTCTGACTTTTACGTTTTTAACTGCTTCTTACAGGCGATAGCATAATCCCCAACCTCTCCCTCCACATTGATAGCCCCAAAATATGCTGTCAGGTGCATATAGGAAACTTTTTTTGTGAAATTATTCAACCAAAACGTCACATATTCCATCCAATACAATCAGATTTATATTGGTGGTGTATAATAATAAATAAAGCTTAGCTTGAGCACTACCGCAACCAGACACACATTCCATACCGCTATAATGACAGTGAAACTTCCATCAGATTACCAACCATCTTCATAGTAATAGAAACCACATCCAAGTGTAACCCTAATTATTTATACTCAACAAATTACCACTCAATGGTACGTGAAGACGATCATATACAAATCAGGCTTATTCATTTCGGTCTTCAATCAACCCCGCTCTCATCTAACGAATATCTCATATCTGAATTCCTGATTGTTTAGGTTGTTGGTGAGATGTTTCAAAGTGGTCATTTTTCGCAAAATCTGTCTAAACAAAGTATCGAAATTGAAGTTACAATAGTATCATAACCTAGGATTAAGGATAGGATCTAGGATTAAAGCTAGAATTGGGGATTACGATTACGGTCACAGTTGGGGATGGGTTGAATGACAGTGTCAGAAATAACAACCGGGATGTAGTGACTAGAAGACATTCTCACAACACATTGGCGACAATTATCCCCTGTAATATGTATGATATGCTTACAATGTTTTCTAATGCATTTTTGAACAGTTATGCGACTTCTTGAATCTGAATTCTGACTGCTTGTTCAGGGTCACTGTGGCATTCGCTATCATAGTTTAATTTAGCCTGTAAGTTTCGTCGTCTTAAATAGTTGTCCCACTGTCGATGGGCGTTTGACCAAGTGACTGACTGAGTGACTGACTGATAGTGTAGGCTGCTAGTGTTCCACCTGTAACTGCTACCAGCATCATCAGTTATCTTATCATATGGCTACAGTAGTTATGAAGTTAGTTATTCACTTAGATACACATTCAGAGTAGAAAGTCTACAGGTCACCGCAACGAAACTCACATTTTTCCTAAAGTATAAATTATATTGAAAAAAACAATTTAACTATAGACTACACATGTTGCTTATCTGGTCTAAATTATACTTACTGCTCATTAATTGGAATGATGATAAAATCTTTACTGAAAATATCATCTCCACATGTCCATCGGGCTACACCAGTGTGTCGAGCATGAATTACTCTGATGAAAGGGAAAACAATATTATCATGAAAAACAGTCTCAATCGGAAATGTACACAACACAATGTAATTCATATATGTATATATAAGGTGTAGAGCACATGTCAAAAACCACCAGAGTCCATGTGCATTTTAACCCGATTTAAATATGTCATGTGATGTGTGTGTGTGTGTGCGTGTAGGTGGGGACATACGTGCAACATCCAAACACCACATACCATTCATTCATTCATTCTCATGACACTTATTAACGAGAAAAAAATGAATTTATTTGTATGCATTGAATGAAAATACCATCATATGATTCTTATAGAAAAAACCATACCAGGGGAAATGCCTAGCTGTTCCGTGTTTCACTTACACATTCACAAGATCAACATGCAAACACTACTACAATTGACAGTCTAGTGTCTGTTCTATAACTTAACCAGTAGTTCACATGCCAGTATTGAGGTAGGAAGCAGTTACCAGGCGGTGGAAACAACAACAAAAAGAACAAACTCTTCAAAGTTAAACAACAATGAATGCTGTCAGCATAGAATATTTCACAGATTTGCAACTCTCCCTCCCTCCATGAGACTCACGAAGCAAGAGAAGAGCGTAAGGAGAAATTCAAAGTAAAGATACACAGAAGGGAAGAGAGACAGACACAGAGAGAGACAATCAGATCAAGTGTGGGGAGAGAAAAATAGAGAAAAAATCAACCAAACAAGAAATTCGAACCATATCAAACATTCCCACCGCTCTCTATATCACCATCTCGTCCAGAAGAAATTTCTTGCACGTATTGATAACAGATTTATCGAATTCCGTTTCCTTCCCCATTAACAAAGTAAATACTGCACTGACTAACCGCTTTCAGCACAATCTCATTCATGAATAACTAATTTATCAATATTCTCGGTATTTATTCTCTGTTATTTCCTTAAGACTATTTCATACTGCACAACTACTTGCTACATCATAGATGGAGAGTGCACAGACAGACTAACCGTCAAAGTATTTTCCACTGGTTTCGAAATCGAGATGGAATAAAAAAGACGGAGGTATTAGGATGGACAAGCCTTTTTAGTTAACTGTAAAGTCATTATTCATGCATGTACTGCTGACATGATATGTTTATGGCTTGAATTTCCGAGAGTTTGTAAAAATAATATACAGTATATTTTGACTAATTAGGGTTGTTTCCCTTGTTGTTGTTCTTGTTTTCGTTGCTCTCGTTCCCGGTATCTTCGTCGTTTTCCCCAGTCTCACGTTTCTGCCCATCTCAGTGTGGCATCAGTTGACTGTTATATTTTCGTCTTCTCACCTCCACCTGGAGGTGAATTCCAGTCGCGCGTTTCATTAACCCATATGACTAACTCAGTATCATTACTCCGTGGTCATATGAATAATCCAATAAAAATAATATCCCATATACGAGTTACAATGAGATATGAAGAAAAATATAGCAAAGCAGTTTTCATACTCACTTCATTATTCATCAATTGACATCAGTCACACAGCGATTGGTGCTTTTGACGACAAACATATATCTTCATTAAAATCCAGGAGCATCACTCCTCACCTCAAATTTATATTCTACATTTGACTATTTATACAAGTGTTACTGTTAGGGGAGGACTTACTATGCATGTTAGGTGTAAGGTCATGACTGATGCAAACATCAATCAGATATTGATTGAGCAAAGAATATTCTTTGAGACAAAATGTCCTACAGCCAGTTGGACATAGGCCGTACAATTAGGCGTGTCTATCGTAGGATTTCCGACCACTACAACCTGCATAGTGGTTAAGTAGTAAGAGACAAACGAAATGCATTCATAAACTCTGTTTTACCTAATCTCGTGGATAGAGAACACAACATTGATGTCATCTACCGTATACCAACTGATCTTAACTTTACCTTCACAGCTCGTCTATTATATGATGCTTACTTACTTACTTTACTTCGGCTATCTCCTACGGGAGGATGAGCCGGCTTCATGAACGTCTCGAATCATCGCTGCCCAGGCGCGGCAATTTGTAAGAGAGTTCGTGAAGTTTCATGGGAATTTGGTACGGGTGATGTCCCCAGCATCCCTCGGCCTTTCGTTTGAGAGTGCAGCTCTTATGTGATGCTGGAATTCTTGGAGTCCACATCAACAGGAGGCTACCTTATGTATCCAGAAGAAGAAAGTCTTTCTCACACTTTCCTTCCTTACCAATGCTGGCCGTCACAATCATCCTTAATTTATTGTAGGAATTTCCTTAACTTTACAGGATATTTCCATTTACATGACATTTTTATGCTTATCACAAATTATACATCTTAACAAATCGACATCATTTTTCTAAAAACACACAAATATTGCTAATGACTATTACACCAGAAAATTATACACATTTATATATAAATGAATATTTTCGCTTTACAGATATTAATCATTTATCTATGGTTTAAATTTCCGTTTTTAGGTATAAATTACTCTGAATTGGCGTAGCAGTTGTCTCAGTTAAATCTGACTACTGTGTGTCTACCTGTTCAGTGTGGCGGGCGGATATTTCGATTTGATGATCAGTTGGCTAAAATCTCGTGACAGGAGACTTATTCTAGTCAAGTTAGACAAAAATTAATAACAACCAATAAATTACTAACTCTCCGTTACAGCAAATTAGTCAACGGGATGTCTTAATCATATCTGTGGCGACTTGAACTTCCGCACATTTGTGCAAAGTTCTATGTCGAAAACAGACAGACAGACAGACTTAATCATATCCTTCAGTTTTGAGCACAGTCCAGTTACTGTTACCACTGCGGCTCCCACGTGAGAAAACTCTTACCGAATCCATAACCAATAAATTTATAATGTTTATAATCATCTAGGCATTCCTATACTCCGATTACTCATTCAGTCACAGAGGCACAGAGGAATTAACTCATCAGTCGATGCATCAATTCACACGATTGGATTTCAATGAATCCATGAAAACTGATGTGAAAAAATTAGATGAATAATCTCCATTTCACTTATGCATCAAAATCTAGTGATGAAAGCACTACTATTTGTGCAAAATCAGGAGATATAGTCAGTCAGTTCAAGTGCAGAGAATTTCCTCCCTCCGCGTTCCCTTATCTCAGAGGAGGAGGATGAAGGATTCTCTCCAGTTCCCATTACGTCTCATGTTGTTGTTGAACGTGTTTCTGCAGAGATATTTTCAACTTAGTTGGTGGAATCTCTCGTGATGTTCATTTCATCACAAAGAATTTCAAAGATTTATGTTGCCTAATTAATCACCATGATTTGTGTGTGTATGTGTGGGGGAATACATTCAAGTGATCAGTTGGCTACAGTGTCGTGACTAGAGGTTCATTCTAGTCAACTTAGACGACAACAACAAATCACTAATACTGTGTTACTACAGTTACCCTTCTATATGGTGACGGTGATGATGAAAAGACAACTAGAGTAGAGACTTACTCACTTCGTTAACAACAACCATACACCTGAAAGAGTTTATCAAAGGTGAAATAATAATCTTTGTAAATAAAGGTGAAATCAACATGTCAGAGTACTCACAGTTCACTGATACGTATGCATGACTATTTACATATGTATGCAACTGCAATTGTTACAAATTGACATTACATTGCATTAACAGTTGTCAGTTCGCACTGTTACACTGATTTATACAATGCGCAAGCTTCTCGAACAACTGACCTTACTCATTGCAAACGATTCATCTTGAAATTGTCTCTCACTGTCTTTGTTTGACATACCTGGAAAGTCATTAGAATTAGCCTCTCACGGCTAAACCTTTATAGTAATCATATCCAGGAGAGTAGTTGATTAATATGCGTTGAAAGCCTGATTAACAAGAAACGACTATACACATTATATTCATCATAATTATGAATTTGTATTCAGCACAATAACATACACTGATATATAAATATCAATACGGATTGGTTACCTTCATCAAATCTGTAGGGAATAATTCTACTACTGGTAGTCAATCACCGGACCTGAACAACTCCAACCCACCCTTAAGCATGCTTTTATCAGCCCACGATCGATCAGAAAACATTCATCATTAACAGTTGAACTAAATAAATATTTCCGATTAGAGAAAAACTCAAAGTCACACAGTCTTCTAATTTATGATGGCGCAAGTCTCAAGTCACCATTCTACTGTTCTTATTGAAGAAAACCAATCGAGATTATAGGTGGTAATTGCTTCCTTGATGAGAAGAAGCAGACCCTTCATATTATTATATACTTTTGTTCCGATGTGATGTGATATTCAACACTTGACAATGCGATGTCAAACTCTCATTAACTCATCAAAATACTTTTCAACTTTCCTCCTATCCTATCCTACTTGCAGTATATCCCCACTACAATAAATATTAGAACTATAAGAAAACAAAAGAACATGGAATCCTAGAGATTATCACTCTTTCTCTCGCTCGCTCTCTCGCCCTCCCTTTGTCTGTTCCACTCTATGATCATTGCAAAATGATGAAATGATTTGTTCACGTGTAGGTGTCATGAGTACAAAAAGCTTCAGCAGATCGCTTGATAGACATGTGCAACACGTTGTAGAATTTGCTTCAGACGAATTAGTGTAAGGGAAGGGAAGCTGATGGATAATACTATTTTGTAGGGACATATTTTGTCACGTCCCATCTGTCATTAACCCAGATTTTGCACATTTTTAATTACTAGGTTTTATAACAGCCTGGGAAAGCTGAAACTCCTGAAACAGAAAATATTAGTATCGTTTCAACAGTTTAATAGTACAGCCACTGCAGAGATGCAGATGTAGCATCTTGGAAAATAGAGAGACTTCTTTATTGTAGGGAGAGCGCGACGGTGTCATTGTAACTGTAGATGAAACTGCCCTATTTATTAAAGAGAAAATACAACCGTGATCGTGAACGAGCGAATACCATTTGGTTTGGCTGATCGGTTTATACAACAAATCGCCATAGAAACGATTAGTCGAGAGAATAACAGATACAAAGTTAAGTACCTTAATACTCACTATCACTCGACTGGCAAAACGACGATCTCTAAAACAAAAGAATGAGTGGACAGGATATAACTAACTCCTTGTCGTCTACATTTCTCCATTAGATAACTACAAACACCAGTTTGACTTTCCATAATTTAGTAATCCTTAACATAGGAAACAATAACAACATTTACAGTCGGAGAATTTCAAGAAACCTCGTACTCAAATGAATGAATAATCAGCGATTAATAAACACACCACCTTTCTTTACACCAAATTTAAAACAACCAACAAATCAAAAAAATAAATCACATGAGACAAGAAAGTTCAACTCCCTGGTGACATGGCTCAAAATCGTTGTCAATGGCCAGCGCACATGTATTCAGTCTCTGTAATCTTTTATATTCCTTTCTACCATTACCCATTCTGTTTCACTCGTATACTTGTCAAACTCTATTGATTCTCTTCACTCATCGTCTTGTCTACTTTTGTGTGGTATTTGGAACGTGGCAACTCGAACTGCTGGACTTCGGTGCCAAGTTCTATGTTGAATCCAGACAGATAGACAGACAGAAACTCCCAAGTCGATAAAAAATAATCAAAATAACAAAAACCGGACAACGGTTGCCCGGAAATACAACTACTATATCATCAAATAAGTTCATTTCATAATAAAACGTTTGGTGAAGGAAGGTGTTGTGTCTATGGCTGGCGGACAACGAAATCTCCACAATTAATTAAATCTACAACCAGCTTCTCAGAGAACACAATCAAAATCATCCTCCTGAGCCACAAATCTTCGACATTCTATTATCAGCCTGTATATATATACATATATATGTATTAATAAAATGAATTCAAGTTGACACCATAACACAAAAGCAATAATAATCCCCATGTGCATTGAAAAACCAAAACCTACTCTTCTGTGTTTATCTTAGTCGACGGATGCTCAAATGTCAATCGAGTATAGAAAAACACATTGAACAGGTGAGTAGCATGCCTCTGATAGTCTGTCAGTTTCTCATAGTACAAATATTTCAGATAAAAATTGATTATTGAATCGTTTAAAAGACCTCCAGGTGAAAGGCACAGAACATCCACAGTTGTTAATTTTATTGCATCAGGACACCCAGGCGGTTTATACACCGATATACTAAAACAAAACATACACATAGTTAAGGGAATTTTAAATCGAGACTAGTAGTCTTACAAAAACTTTAGATAAGAACAAACTAATAATAATAATAAAAACTTAAATAAAACCTGAATGTTCAAAAGATAGACAAATATTTCTGCATCTTTTTTAATTCATGGAAAATTCCCATTGTAACATATAGAAAATCAGCGAAGAGACTCTTTTCAACAACGAATTCATCTCTGTATACACAGAAAGTTCGTTCAATCCCTCCAACTTTCATAGTCTTAATCCCCCCCTACCCCCTGCCTAGCCATATTTTGGCACTACCATCTTTTTTTCTTCATTTTTTCCATTCAATTTGTATACTCTTCCTTCTTTTATTACGTCAATTGTTACTATTCTCACTTTGAACTGTCCCCGGTATTATTCCCTTCGCTCGCTCCACTTGTCATTCTAAATCAATTACAAACCAACTCTTGAAAATTATTTTGCAACATCACATTCTATGCTATTAAATTTCACACAATCTCACGTAACTTTCTTATTTTATTCGATTTCATGGAGGATTTCACCATCAGCTGACATCAGTTAGAGAACCACTGGAAAATCTGGGAGTACTGGACAGTTGTTTCAGCAGCCTGGTTTAGGACTCTTCATCAGTACGCACCCACCACAGCGGTTCCAACCCAGGACCATCTGGTTACAAGGCGAGCTGGCTCGTAGACTACTGAGCCACTGGGACCCAATACAATGGCCAATCCCTGAATTCTGACTTCTGCCGATTCACGAAATAGCGCGACCACTTCGCAATGTCTTCTTCGATGAGTTACTGCATCATCTTCAACCTGCTGTACCCTACTGGTCACGGCTTCCCACTAGAACCCCAGGTTAACTGCCTGAATAGCGCCAGTAACTAGTGAGCATATCAGATTAATTTTCAAGGATTGGTTCTGCGGTTCTAGTGGGAAGCCGTAACCAGTAGGGTACAGCAGGTTGAAGATGAGGCAGTAACTTATCGAAGAAGACATTGTACGAAGGTGAGTCTATCCAATTGAAGACTCGCATCTTCATGATCGTCACTAATCAAAATAATATCATCTGCATATCTCCTATTGAAAGACACTTATACAATTCAATCAAAGCACAAGTTTTTAACATAAGACATATAAACATCCGATAACAAAGGTCCTAATATACTCCCCCCACCCATAGCAACACCACCTACTTATCGGAAGTGCTCACCTACAAACGTGAAATCGACATTGTCAGTACACAATAGTAGTAAATCGTTCAAATAAGTTAAAGGAAATAAGACTGAAAATCAACTAGGAGGTATACAGTTACAAGGAATATCAACGGTATTAATCAATAGTATTAATCAACAGACAGAAATAATAGAACTTCAGGTGAACCTAGAAAGGATAGAGATGATGAACATATCTAACCAACACCAACACCAACAAAAACATTCATCGTCATTTATGACAGTAATCTATCTGAAGGAAATCGTCTCACTCACCCACCATCTGAACAGAATCATATCAACTATCTGACACATTTCAGTTGAAATTCATTAAGCGCGTTACAGAAGTATCAAATTAAGGCCTCTCCCTACCCGGCCAATCACCTCCCAAAAAGGATCTTCAAGGGTGATCAAAACAGTCTGATGACTAAACAAATACTCAAGGTGATAATTAACAGAACTTAGTGTGCAGTCAGACTTATTTCCGTAGAAAAACGAGATCTATGCTGTCCTGTTAACCCACACTGACAACATCCGAACGATAGTGTCACAAGCCACTGTGTTTACAATTTTACATGTACATATGGATACACGTACATAGAGAAGACGCGTCGCTCCTTACAGATTACGACTACACAGAATGCTCCAAAGTGACTGCAACATAAAGATACAATCACCGGATACAACCGATCCTCGTAATAGACGTCCAACATCGCCTATCGCAAAGCACATCACTGAGACGAGTCAAAGGCTTGGTGGTTTCAGTAGTGACTTTAATATTTTGCCTTCATATATAAAAGAAGTTTCCGTCACAACCTTAAATTCCTTGAAGCTTTGACTATAAAAGGGCTTAAGCCTGTCTAATGTGTCGAAAAATTATTTGTCATTACATTGAACCTGCCTTCCCAATGCAATTTACAACCAAGACTCAATTTACATTAGTTTCACTCTCTGCCTCCATTCCGATTTTATCCTACATTCTCATGTCATCTTTCTACCTCTCCCCGTCCCGTCCCACCCCCATTTTTATCTGTGACCTTGACCTGTACAAAATTCGACCTGTATTCCATTCATTCAGGTCTACTCTTACCTTCTACATAAATGTGTGTGTGTGTGTGTGTGTGGTGAGAATGTCCGAAACGTGTTTCGCAAGTACACTACATTACATTACACCTTTCAGATAAGCTACGGCTTCTTATTCTCTTGTCGTTATACTCTTTTATTTACTGATGACGTCTCGAGCACAATTTCATTGATAGTTAGATAAATGCATGAGTGTGTGTGTGTGCGTGCGTGTGTGTGTTGTCGTGATGTGTAGCACATTGTGAGTAGATGTCAAAACACTGAGTTATTTACAATATTCAAATGAAGGTGGTGTTTTCTCAATCTGATTGATGCTGTATGTGAGTGAGTGAGTAAAGGTTAAACGAACCCGTAGGTTGACCCAATTAGACAGAATGATACAATATACCAAATACCTGGATTCCACTGCTAGCCACGATCCACCAATTGTATACAAATCAAATCCCCAGACATCGTCGAAGCATCTGCACAAGAAGCCGACATGTCAACCTGAGACCGAACACTTCGGTCCAATCAATCGACGGGAAAATCAAGAATTCAATTCAATACCAAATACCTACCTTGCAATGACTGTCAGTTAGGTCAACTACAAAGATCAAACCACTGGAATAGGGCGGGTGGGTAGTCAGACAATCAGAACATAAGAATTTAGTCGAGTGTAAAATGACTGACACTGTGGAGACAAATAATCTAGAAGAAAGTCAGCAATTCCACTGCATACATTGACACACAACCACACATTATGGTGGGACACAGTCACATTTCTAAAAATTAAACGTAGATGGATGAAGAGAAAGAGAGAGAGAGAGGTTGATTACGACTAACTGATTGTCTGACCAACTGACTGACTCATTGGATCTTCGTTCATAGAATAATCTACACGTGCAATAGGAATGACTCATCACCACTAGTACCAGAGATATGCAAAATACTCGTACCACCAGCAATCATCATCAAATCAAGTGACGAAAAATAATGGAATTATATAGACAAAGTGAGAAGGGGTTGTGTGAGTAGTGCCTTGATATTGATTATGAGCAGTCATGGAAATTGTTCTCGAAACGTGATCGTCAGTAAGTAATATCACTGCATAACACTGTGAAACTTTCTCAAACAAATTTACTCTGTCGTAGAATTATACCCTACCACATGGATCAAGTCTTGTTCTTATATCAGGCTTTCCTCACCATATATTAAGTGTGTAGCAGATGGAACAAGATCGGAGTGTTTATCTTTTATTTTAAATTAGTCAATGTTTCTATATGGTTCAGGGAATTGGCACATCAGTCACCAGAAGCAGCATCTCCAACAGGTCACCGTTGCTGACTTTCACCAATACCTGAGTTCTCTACATATCGAAGATCATGTAGTCGGACAGATAGGATAATTCTAATGCTATTCTGGCAGATAGTTAGTGGGCAAGCTGATAAATATGCAGAACTAGTAGGGAGATGGATGGTGTGGACATACACTGAGAAGACCGTTGAATGATATAACACGTTAGTTAGGCGATAGACTGGAAACACTGTGAAACTTTCTTAAAATACAATTTTCTCCGTAATGGAAGAAATACCTTAGTTTTTAAGCTCCAGTGTACATATCTAAACGACACCAACATCAGTCTTCAAATGGTGAGAACATGTGAATTCGGTGATCACCGCCTTTCATATTGACAAACAACCAGGTGAATAGTCCAGAAAAAGTATTGTGCCAATTATGGTGATCATAAAAGTCTTGTTGTTATTCACAACCGTAAATTCCTCCTTCCATTTAAGATAAGTTGGCTTCATTTAACACAGAGTGATTGATATATTATGGCATAACTTGATGACATATCGACCACAATTCATTAACCCGCTCATTGTCACACCAATGTATTCACACGACTTGCTCACTTACTTTTTATAGCCATACTTCTATCGTATTCGTCTCACTTCGCCAGAGACACAAATATGATTAACAAATGATCTTATATTCAACATGTCATATACATATATATATGTGTATATATATATATATATACGCAATACTTTCATGGGAATTTAGGTAGTATGTTTCTAGTGTAATGAGCCTAGTAGTCCTTTGTTTGGTGAAGACTCAATTCTATCAGTCAGTCAAGTTTACAAGGTAGCTTGCCATCACGGTGCACTCAGAAGTGTTGTTAGATGTTTCCGAGTTGTTTTATAGGAAGCCTTGGACCTGAGTTTCATGCTTGTTGGCACTCATCAGTCCATCAAGACGTATCTGCAGTATTTAATTAGTTCGCGTCCATTCCGAGATTCGAATCTGTGTCACCTAGTGGTACAATAAAAGATGTTACCACTGAATTATTCAGCCTCGTGAGCCTTAGGTACAAAGCTTCCTGAACGATTACCTCAAGTCCGCATCAAAAAAAGACTAGACTCATAATAACACTAGTTACCACCTAATACCAAGTGTCCAGTGAAAGTATCCATTACAGTCCTACAGTAAATCAGTCGTGAACCCGAACAGCTCAATGATAACGTCCCTCCCTTACTGCACCACTAGGTGGCACGAGTATCAATCTCAGAATGGAAACGAGTTCCTACAATAGTGCAGATATGACCCGGTGATTGATTGGTGTTTGTTAAACAAGCAAGAAAAACCTAAACTCAAAGTTCTCTGCTGACTGCCTCCGATCATCTAACGTCTTTGCATACGCATTCCG